GGACTATTAATTCCAAGTACTGATAACAAACTCGTTAACTTGTATGAAATTCAATTTGATGATTTGAAAGGTAGGATTGATGAAATGGTGAAAAGTAAATACAAAATCACCCATCACCTTGTATCGCGACATATTGCCAACGAGTTAAAATTAGAAACCTTGACAGGAAAAATATATGGTATCTATATCTTTTTATTATGTTGTGATTATAAGTTTAATTTATTAATTTGTATGTTCTTTTTCAACAGTTTACGGGTATGAGAACATTTATGAAGATATATGTGAGCAAGAAGAAATATTGACTACCAGGATAAGAAATATCATTGGGGTAAACCATTTTAAATTTTAATGGTCAATATAATCAATTTTTTATACTAATTTTTTGTTTAAAAAACTACTGATTAGGAATTTTCATTAGGAAAATTGTTTAATGAATTTCTTCAAGTAAGTGATGAAATTAATAATACCCATTCAAAATCTGAGCAAGTGATCAAACATTAATTTCAATATAGAATGCGGATGATGCTGGAGCCACACGTTTTTCGGTAATAGTTGATGAGAGGCAATATTATGATTACAATGAATCCCTATTGTCAGAAGAAATGAATTATTGGCAAGGTCCCGCGATATGGATCTATAATGATGCTGAATTTTCTATCAAAGATTTTCGTGCTTTGACCAAACTTGGAGTTGGAGAAAAATTTCATGATGACACAAAAATTGGAAGATTTGGAACAGGTTTCAATTGCGCCTATCATTTTACAGATTTACCTAGCATTGTAAGCGGAAAATATATTGTATTTTTAGACCCAAATGGTAAATTTCTTCCTGCAAAAGGGTACCCTCCTGAAAGGCATCGGGGTACCAGTTTTAATTTTATTGAAAAGGAATTTAAAAGGAGTTTTTCAGATCAATGCCGTCCTTATAAGGCTTTAGAAGGACTTGATTTTATAGATCATTGTGATTTTACGGAAGCGTTTAAAGGGTCATTATTTAGACTTCCACTTAGAACTCGTGAATCGGTAGGAAAGAGCGATATTTCAAGTCAACTTGTAGAAACTAGTGATATCTTGCAAGTACTTGGTAAAATCCAGGGAAATAAAGAAATGCTCTTTTTAAGGAATATAGAAATATGCAATCTATATCTCCTAAAAGAACAAAATCAATCTCCTCAATTGATATGGCAAGCGCAAATTAACGCGTCAAGAACCTGTCGTGAAATGCGTAAAAGAATAACTAGTGAAATGCAAATCTACCAATTAGATATTGAAAGTATTAATATACTAAACAAGAAAGGTTCAGAAGTATGGTTATTATGTACAGGAGGACATGATCGAGTTAAAGAAAAATTTGAAAAATTTGCAAGGGAGAAGCGACTCAAGGTAATATAATAGGTTTTTTTTAATTATTTTTGTAATTATTCAAAAATTTGATGATAATTATTTTTTTTTTTTTGATCGTTGTTTAAGCCAAGAGGTGGAGTTGCATTGTTGCTTGCTAAATCTGATGAGAAATCTATGGATGAATTAAAAGTTAGTAGTTATTTAAATATTAATTTATTCATTTTTGTAATTTGATCATTAACATATTAACTATTGCATTGTAGTTTCCAAATCCTCTTGAATTCAGGGGTGAAATTTACTCATATTTGCCTTTATCAATGCGAACTAATCTTGGGGTTCATTTAAACGGAAACTTTTCTTTATCAAGAGCGAGAAACAATATTATACAATTAGGAAATGATTTTCTGAAAGCTGACAGTATTCATGCAAAATGGAACCAATACATTCTTTACGATGTTTTACAAAATTTACATGTTAAGTTGCTCGAGCATGTTTTGAAGTATGAAGAAGATAGGTTCAAAAAAGATAAGATAAATTTCATTCCACGAGATTTTTTGCCTAATGGGAAGAACTTATCTATTTCGTTTAAAAATTATGGATTAAATATTCTAATGAAGATAGGCTTTGGTGGCCATCGAATATTTTGGACTAAAGCTAATGGTGGACAATTCATTTCATTGGAATCGGCTAAATTTCTCAATGAAAAGGAAACAGTTATTACAGATATGTTGGCCAACTTTGGAATTCTAGCGGTAAAAATTGATGATGACAGGTACAAACAACTTTGGGAGGCTAGATTTAGGAATCCAAAATTCAAATATACGCTTCTTGATGGAAAATTAGTCTGCAAGGAATTGAAAGAATTGGATATTCGTGTGAATCACGAATCACTATTTAAATTACTTGATTTCATCCTTAATGATGTTACAGATGAAAGTTATGAACTTCTTAATGGATTACCATTAGTTCCATTAAATAATGGTTCAGTCGGAACGTTTGGCGACACTTATTATTTGGAAGCAAAAAAGGTTACTGAAAAACCAACAAATCAAGATATTTTTCCAAAAATTGGCCCATCCAAATTTGTTTCCATCAACCTACCTAGTAATCTGCTGAAAATCTTCACTAGCGTCAAGTTTTCCGAAAAAACACAAATAAAAAGATTTGATAATTCTATTATTTTAGATCTTTTAATAGCAGAATTACCAGAATTATTATTTATGGAGGAATTGAAATGGCACCCCAATGGAAGATCTATACCCAATGTACATTGGCTTAAAAATATTTGGTCAATATTATTTGATGAAAAGGCAAATGTTTTAGAATACGCCAAACTTTCCAACTTTGCTCTATTGCCAGTGACTTCACCTTATAATATGCTTATTCGACCCAATATAAAAAATCCACTTTTATATTTACCTGAAGATGGGCATGATTTATATCCGGTATTAGTAAAGCTGCGAGTTCGCTTTACTGAAATGATGATACCCGAAAGTGCTGATAAAAGTCTTCAAAAATGTGTCGTAACATGTACACCTGTAAATATCATTAATTCCTTGAATAAGACTTGTTCTTTATTATCCCTGACTATGAATCAGTTGTTTGAAAAAGGTGATTTATTACCTTCAGATTATATAAAGCTTAGAATGTTTATTAAAAAACAAATTGAAATTTTAATAGGCAAGTGAAGAAAAAATTTTAATAGATACATTTGATATTTTCCACGTTCATATAAATTAATGCTTTTCTCTTTACAGATCATCAACAAAGTCAAGAAAATTTTATGAGTATTCTTAAAGATTTACCAATATGGCCAACATATTCTTGTGAAGAAAAGTTCATCAATGTCAAATCTGGAATTCTTTATCCATTCGATTTTGCATTCTATTCTTTTCGAAAAAACACCAAATTCTATAAGTATGATAAAACGTCAGAGTACTTCAATCTACTTAAAAAGTTAGGTGCCAAAACTATAACTGAATTAGAATATGTTAAAAATCATTTATTTTCAGTATTCATATTATGGTCAACACCTTCTCAGCAGTATGTCGATTACTTGCAAAATGTTTTATCCTTAAAGAATCCGGAAATTGAGCGATATTTCAAAACCGTAAAATTCGTGCCTAACAAAT